CCACGCCTCTCGGCTCTTCTTTCTATGAAGGAACTCACCGCACATCTCTGCCGCAGACCTGACAGGGAGGTGCCATTCTCTGGTGATGTACCACTAGAGGGAGACAGACACCACAGTTTACTCACCTTCAGCYTTGCTTTAGTTTAACTTTAACAAAGACTGAGGGAAAACGGAAGTGAGTATGTGGAGCAGAAATAAGAGAGATGTGGGTCACTGCTGTCGCTCCACTGGCTTCATCTGCTCTGTGAGCTCCACTTACCACGAGCTACTTCCTGTCTGTGATGCAGTTGCCACATGACTTCCTGTTTTGGTTGAAGGCTTCAGCAAACTGCAAAATTGTGATTGTTGACATGGAAGCATGAAGTTAAATATTAACAGGAACTCAATTTAAAACAATTGACAACAAACCAGAGCCTGAAGCAAACAGATTACTGCTAAATGTTAAAGTCTGCCTGTTCAGACAACTGAACCAAAAACCTGTTCAGTTCGGTTCAGAGCACCTTCCTATTGACAGGACTTCCTGCCTACCTGGCCTTCTCCCTCTGCTGCTGAAGGCGTTCCCTCTCCTGCCAGATGAACAGGGTGCCGGGCCTCTTGCGCTCCTCCAGGGTGGGGCTGGAGGGGAACAAGGGAGATGTGGACATCGATGACTGGGAGCCCACCTCTATGTTGAAACTGGACCTGAGAGAAACATGGAGGACAAGGCAGAAAGATCTCAGTRCACTGCTGACCCTGATTTAACTTTAAATGTCCGAAGTTTACTCAGCAGAAACTCACACAAAAAGTATAGGCTGACACCAACATATAGAGTTRCAGTAACCCAGTTAGGAAGTAATAAATGCATGAGGCACCTGTTTGAGGTCATTAAAAGAYAGAAATGATTTATGCTAGATTTAATAAATAGCTCCAAGCTGCACAGATCTACAGGAGAAATGATGAGGTTTTTCATTTTGTAATGAGACCAAAAATAATAATTTCAGTTTTACCCCCATCATAATTTTAAAAAGTTTACAGTCATCAAATGTTTTCAACAGAAGTTAAATCTGAGGAGTCTGCATAATAAATAAAAGAACAAGGAGTATGGAGATGGAAAATAAATTGGGACCAAKAATAGATCCTTGGGGAACGCCACATGTACAAACCCTGGCAAAAAGTATGGAATCACCAGTCTTGGATGAGCACTCATTCAGACATTKCATTCTGTAAARCAAACTCARATCAAAAACATGATACAATAATAAGGTCATTCCAAAGYGCAACTTGTTGGCTTTCAGGAACACTCAAAGAAATGAAGAGAAAACATTGTGGAAGTCRGTGAATGTTACTTTTATTGACCAAGCACAGGGAGAAAAATATGGAATCACTCAAACTGGAGGTAGAAAATAAGGACACACCCAGTCAATTTCCTTTCCCTAAATGGACACCTGCCTCAGATAGTGTTTTTTATTGCCATTTTATTGTTAATGTTGTGTTTTTAATGTTGTAAAGTGTCCTTGGGTGTTTCGAAATGGGCTAACAAATAAAATGCATTATTATTATTATTAGAGCTGCTTCTTAGTCTGCAGTTAAAAACACCTGCAGTCATGACACCTTGGAGGGCTGCTGGACGAAGTGGAGTGGTTAGAAGCATGGCTTCAACAAGAGAAATGTCTCTTGAAACAAAAGAGAGGATTGTGAAACTTCTTGAAGAAGKTAACTCTTCACACATGGTTGCTAAAGATGTGGGCTGTTCACAGTCAGCTGTATCCAAGATATGGACCAAATACAAACAGCATGGAATGGTTGTTAAAGCCAAGTATACTGGTAGACCAAGAAAGACATCAAAGCGTCAAGACAAACAACTTAAGACCATTTGTCTTGAAAACCGAAAAAGTACAACTAAACAGATGAAGCATAAATGGGAGGAAGCTGGAGCCAATGTATGTGACCGAACCGTAAGAAGTCGCCTAAAGGAAATGGGATTTCAATACAGGAAAGCTAAAAGAAAACCATCATTGACACCTAAACAAAAAAGAACATGACTGCAATGGGCTAAGGAGAGGCAATCATGGACTGTGGATGACTGGATGAAAGTTATCTTCAGTGATGAGTCAAGAATCTGCATTGGACAAGGTGATGATGCTGGAACTGTTGTTTGGTGCCGTTCCAGTGAGATTTATGAAGAGGACTGCCTGAAGAAAACAACCAACTTTTCACAGTCCTTGATGATATGGGGCTGCATGTCAGGCAAAGGCACTGGGGAGATGACTGTGGTTCATTCTTCTATCAATGAACAAGTTTACATTGACATTTTGAACAGTTTTCTCATCCCTTCAATTGAACAGATGTTGGAGGTGATGAAATGATTTTCCAAGATGACAATTCATCATGCCATAGGGCAAAAACAGTGAAGGTATTCCTTGGAGAAAGACGCATTCAGTCGATGTCATGGCCTGCATACAGTCCAGATCTCAACCCAATTGAAAACCTGTGGTGAAAATAGAAAAAAAAAGGTCCACAAGAAGGCTCCGACCTGCAAAGCTGATCTGGCGGCTGCTATCAAAGAGAGTTGGCACCAAATTGATGAAGAATACCGTTTGTCACTCATCAAGTCCATGCCTCAGAGACTGCAAGCTGTTATAAACAAAGGTGGTGCAACTAAATACTAGTGATGCATTTTGAATGGTCTTTTGTTTATATGTTTTTCATGATTCCATACTTTTTTCCTGAGAATTGAGTGATTCCATATTTTTTCCTCAGAATTGAGTGATTCCATATTTTTTCCCTGTGCTTGGTCAATAAAAGTAACATTCACCGACTTCCACAGTGTTTTCTCTTCATTTCTTTGAGTGTTCCTGAAAGCCAACAAGTTGCACTTTGGAATGACCTTATTATTGTATCATGTTTTTGATCTGAGTTTGAATGAAATGTCTGAATGAGTGCTCATCCAAGACTGGTGATGCCATACTTTTTGCCAGGGTTTGCAGATTGGATCTGAGGAGGGAACAGATTCTTTACAGAGAAACCAATCTAAACCTGACCATTTTCCCAGCTTAAACATTTCAGCAAGCAGAAAAAAAGTCTTTTGGAAAGACAGGTTCATCAGATCCATCAGTATCCTGTTGCATTAAAACACCTCCAGTACTTTTCCAGGGTTCCTACAGAAACCTGACATTCCAAACTTTCCAGACAAGTTTTCAGATTTTTTCACCAATTTGGGTGAGACTTTTTATCTCTATTGTAATGTTTTGATGACTGTCAGTGTTATTTTCTGCTGAATGGCAGAAAGAACTTTAGAAAAAAGAAACAAATTGTCATATTTTCCAAATAAGGTTAATAATAAAGTTAGTTTAATGACAATGTTAAACATTGTTATCCTGTAAAATTATGTGCCATTAAGAGAACAATGAGAATCTTTAGCTGAGCTGATAAGCTTCATTCAGYTTGACATTAATGATGAATGATTCAGCATTGTTTTTATCTTAAACAGGTAAGTAATAAAACAGTAAAACAGTAAAAATATATTTATATTTGAACATTCAAATCTGTTTTAATAAAATTAAACAGGGAATAAAGTCTAGAAACTCTAATATTTTTGTACAGTTTTCTTTTGTCTAACACTAAATACAAGCTCCAGACTTTTCAAGGCCCTGTAGAAACTGTTATTTGATTTGATCACTGASCATCTCTTTAGTTTTTCCTCTTAGAGTTTCTAGGCACAGAATTCCAATCTGTTTGAACTTCCCTTTTAGTCTGTAGTATTTTATTWTTAGACATCCCAGAGGAAACACTGGAGGCCAAAATGTGGAACATCCGCTGGATGGAGCTGCAGCGTGTCCTGTGTGAGTCAAGAGGACCTGAACGGCAGACCGTTCAGGTCCACAGRCTGGATTTAACAGAGTCTGGGCTCTGAACCTACAATAAAATGTGACCTGGATTCAGCTAATTAAGGTCAAATATGTGAAACAATAGAGGCTGGCACACATTCAGGAGATGCCACTGGGGCTGAAGAAACAATGAAAACTCCCTGATTATAGAAAACATGCAGCAGAATAAAAGTTGCCTGTTGGGCTTCAGCTCACAGAGGTGGCTGAATGTCAGCTACTTTGGACTCAACAAGCTGAAGGAAAAACTGGACATTAGCCACACAGGATGTTATTTCTGCCACTAAAGTCTTCTAACTAATGAAAACTTTCCCTCTTTCTACTGTTTGATTTTTCTTTCACTGCTGATGAATGCAATAAAAAATCCCTCTACTGACATACAGTATATGGTAATCGACCAGATTCATGATTATAAAAAACTGAATTTATTTTAGTATTAAAGGTTAACGAGAACTTTTACCTTCTTGTTTTTCTTTTATTTGCCTCTTCTCTCACAGCTTTGTTAAAGTCCACACAAACTACATAAAAACAATCAGCTCTAATCTTGCTTTCTTGTGGAGACTAGCTGATTATAATGTAAAAAGAATAATGATAATAATCACAGGAGCTGAAACTGAAGAGTCTTTCCTAAAATCAATGGGCATCTCCTTCATCTTTGAATTGTTTTTCCTTTTTAAAGTGCCTGTGACATGCATATTCTTCAAATACAAAAAGTCAAAGAAAACATCTTTATATTTAAGAAAACTGATGTAAAACACGCAGTTTTGCCCATTTTGTAACATAACTGGCATATTTTCTTTTGAACTTGGCTCAGAAAAAAGTGAAACCGTAAGTGGCATTAAAGGGGAAATATTTAGGAAAAGGAACTCTCTGGTCTTTGTTTATTGAAATAATATTATTTAAACTCTAACTCCTCTTCATTTGTCCCTGATAGTGACTCAAAATAATTTAAA